TTTCTCATTGTTTGGTAACTATTTGCTGCAAATGCAACAAAAATCAATATAAAAAATATTACCCACACAGTATTCTACAGGTTACTTGTTATATATATATATTGTTAATTTTCTAATGATATCTTCAGTTCTTTAATTGTAATGTGCATTGCTAACAGCGGAGCTATCTCAGCCGACAGGCTGCTTGTTTAAATTTGTGTTTAATTATTTATTTTTATTGTACATTTTCTTTAACTTTGTTTTATTTTAATGTATTTGCTGGCAGTTTTTTAAGAGTTTTAGTTTGTTTGTTTTTTCACACAAGTATGTAACAGCAAACATAAACAAATTTTTTTTTTTAAATATTAAAATAAAATAAATACCGGTATATAAAATAAAATAATTTAATCAGATACTTATATTGTGGCAGACACACTCATTGCTTTGATGGAGGTTGAGATCATATGTGATTGGATAACGGACATCACATGATAGGATCTCAGGGAAAAAGCAATCATTGATTGGACAAAAACTGACTTTTATTTCTAAATTTGGAGACTTATAAGGCCTCCTTAATTAATATATTAAAATTACTTACCTACTGATGTTTCAATAATAATAGTTAATTTTATACCCTTTATTTTAATACAGTTAAATACAAAATTTATTCAAATAACAAAGTAGCAGTATAGTATCTTACCAGCGACAAAGGTGACCCAAAACTGCATGCCGAAATATGTAGAAAAGCAGGCAAGATGCACAAACTGTAATAGTTTGGTGGACACCACTGGTTGTACTAAATAATATAAACCAAATAATACTACAACACCAGCAGTAACATGAGCTGGTTGACCAAATCTGAGAAAAGATAGACAACTCCATCAATAGTTACTATGGTAACATAATGTATATAAAGGAAAACCAATTGAATATTATAAGGTTATTACGAAGATACCTCAAAGTATGCACAAAGACAGTACAGCGGCAGTATCGACCGACGCGCAGTGGTGGTCGATGCAACAACGTACTATCTGAGTGCATACTTTGAGGTATCTTCATAATAACCTTATTATTATACATCTTTTCCTACCAAGGATACATCATGGGAATGCCGAAATCTAAAAAGTTTAGAACAGAATCAGCGAACTTTTTTGTATGGAGTCCAGTCAAACCCTGGTGGCAGCCATGTTTGTTTTTATTATTAGAGGAAGCTTACATGCGTAATCATTCCATATTTGGAATTCACATTTCCTAAAATGGTAAGCTGAAAATACCTCGTAAAATACCGCAAAATTACGGCATGCTGTGACAGATGTATAATAATACATGTTATTGTGATACAGAGTGGCACAGTTCATAATATTGATTATCCATTGTCGTCCATCATCCATCATCCATCGTCCGTTGGTGTCAACTTTGACTTCTTCTTTAAAACTGGTGTTTTAGTAGTTTTTTTTTATTCTATTTTTTCCAAAGCTGTATCAGTTATTGGTAAAATTTAACATGGTTTAACTACAGACGTGAAAAATTACATTTGTCAAATTAGTTTTTAAGACAAATTTTCTTGATATACATGTACAAATAGGCATAGAGATCATTCACAACACAGAAATAAGTAAATAAAATAACAAATTCCAACATGATTGGAGAACAGAGTTAAACTTGACAGGATGACCAAAGCCAATTTATTTCACAGAAATACATAATTTTTGGGTTATTTACATGAAATAAACTATTCAACTTTCAAGAATAATATAAATAAGACTACGGGAACCACCAGATTTTATTTTATTTGTTATGCATGCATTTTTTTGGTGCTGTTAAAGTGCCTGTGAAATGCCCACCCACACGTTTCCCATTTTAGATCTGTGTCCCACTGAAATGGGCAGTTATTGATTTTTTTGCTGAAATGATTACTCGTATCCAAGTAAATTTGAGATATTTCTCATGCTGTAGCCATGCCCACCTATCCTGAAACGGATTGACTGTTTCCGGATGTTCAACTCGCTGAAAGTGCGCCGCCAAATGCCAAGATATGAGAGGAAGCCATACTCCTGGTCCGTACTTTTCATAACACTGCGTCATTCAACATACTTTTAAATGATATACATTTTTGGTCAGCGTTTTTTTTTTTTTTTTGAGAGAGAGAGAGTGACAATTAATTCCAAGCGAAAATAAAGTATTCTGCAGTATTTATTATTGCACAGAGTAGCCAATCATAGTTAAAATTATTTCATTTGATTTAACATGATAAAGATAAGATAAAGCTTTATTCCAACTGTTATAAATAAAGTTAATGAAACTAATAATAAAACATAAAACGAGATAATTGATAAGGTAATAAAAATGAATTTGTTTAAATCCTGTTGCAAGATTTCACGTAGTATTGTACAATAATAATAATAATAATATTTATTAGATGCATAAAATCCTTAGGAAAGGATAAAAAGGGTCTTACAAAAAGAAATTTAAAATAACTATAAACTAAAAGAAAAAACTTGAACAAATATGAATAAAAAATAAATACAATTTGCAATCAAATGTGAGGTTGGGTTCTGTGAGAACTGGAACTATTAGTATCAGATAATTAAACTCACCTATAACGCGGCCAGTTGTCTTGCAAATGTTTCAACATTATTTAAGATGTTTACTGAAAGTATCTTGATGAAAAATGTTTCTTTCAAATCGAAGGTCGACAGCGAGTACTAGTAGAACGAAAGACTGATTGTATAGTGGGAGGTGGAGGCCAAGATCAGAATCAGATTGACCGACAGATCCACAAGAGACTGTGGACAGACACAGTTCACAAGTGTTTCGCCAGCCTCAGAATAGCCTACTTTTCTACACACTCCTATGCACACATAAAATATTGTATGCGACTTTTATCACGTAAACAAGAACTCAAACGTGACTTAACAACAGCGCCCCCGTCGCCAAAAATAAGAAATGTTGACCCCTAAATGATATTTGACCTTTGACATTATATTAATCATGGCGGTTCAGCTTGACGTGGAAGATGAAACAATTTTAACAGCGATTTTTAAAGATTCGTTCCCAGGTAAGAAAGTATTCTGTAGTTTTCTATTAACATGAAAGACTACTCATTACATTTTACATGAGTCGACGTACAATAAAAACTCGAAACACGCTGATCCGAGAAAAGCGAAACGTTTTGTCCAACGTCGCCGCAAATTAATAATGGCACCAGCTGACTGTATTATTGACATGAAAGTATTTTTTTTGCAATATTCAATTTTATTATTTATTTCTTCATTTCCAGAATCCTGGAGAGAGAATCCTGATTTTGTGTTGTACCTTGTTGAGCTGAGTTCATTTGGAGTGGACAAATTAAGTATGAATGTTTATAGTAATCTCGACATTGTGTTAACAAAAGTTGCTTTGACTATTTTACAGTATAATTTGTATGGCATCGTAACATTTGACATAATAATGTCCACTGATTGAGCAACTTGCTAAAATTACCCTAAGATATTCTGAGCCGTTCTGTTAATTCTTTTGAGATTAGGTTTTCATCAAATTACTGAACCATATCACAACTTTTGATTTGTTGATTACCACACTCTTGATTTGTTTTCTGTGCATCTATTCATTATTAACCATGACTAGTTTATTCCTGTTGCATTGCATCTAAGTGAAGTTTATTTAGAACTAATTTAGTTACGGCGATGTAGGACAAGAATAATTTGATAAACATTAGGTTTCAATTGGGATAGCTTGGGAACGCCATACCATTGAGATTTTGTTGGGATCCAAGTAACTCAGAAAGGTCTTTCAACTAAAAGTTGTCATCAATAAAGCATTACATTTTGTAATACTCTTGGCATAATAAAGGCAGTTTTTCAATGGCAGTTGAATTAAAACAGCTAAGCAACAATCACATTGTGCAACTACTTCATTTGAAAATGTTCTAATGTTATTTAATGGACTAATAGAAACCTATTTCATAAGCTTGAATTCTGACATCTATAAATATTTATAAAGATGGAGGGAATGCTTTTGTTGTACCAGTAGTATAAAAGAAGAATAACTAGAATAATATAGAGTAAATTATAGACGATGTAAAAAATCTCATTTGAAATGTCAGAATCATTGAAATCTTGTAAAGAGAAGCTCCATAGTTACCAAAGCTTTTCTGCTGTCTCCACATTTTTATCCTCACCTCAGCTTTACTGTCGCCTCTATGCAGTGGCCTCTATGTAATCCAACATTTCTCAAATCAAATATGCTTAGAGGAAACACTGCTTCATTGTTACTCTTGCTTCCAATGTATTGTCCTTATCTCAGGTCCATCCTTACCTAAGCTTTACTGCCACCTTCACTTTCTTTCATGATTGACTAGATCATTGCCTGTAAAATCTGTATTAGAAGTCGCATCCATTTTTTGTTCAACTATTGAAAACCAAATAATCACAATGTGAGATGCTCAAATAGAAGGCGCATACCCTTTGTTGCATTGTACCGCGGTTTCTGATACAGATTTTACAGTAATTTTTGTTTCTCTCTGAAAGTCTCTACTGGTTGTAACTTATGACATGTATATCTCTAGGCCATGAACCAGAAAGACTTGCCGATGAGAGAGCACAGATTTTGGAACAGACACAGGACTTGGCCTTTCACAACTACAAAACATTTATCCAAACTGCTGAATGTTCCAAGGAAATATTTCAAGATGTAAGTGCCATTGTGGTATAGTTTTGTAAGTTATATAAATATATATTGCAGCTAAAGGGCCATTATTATTTAATATACATGCAGTTCCACACAATAATATTCATTAAAGTTTTACTTTACTACTGATAAATCATTTCTTCAGTTTGTAAGTGACTTTTTGAAGCATGTTTTCTCTTGAAGGCAGATCTGTTCATGTATACAAATGTACATATACCACTTTTTGCATGTATTGTAAATTGCTGATTATTCTTCAACTTACAGTTCAGTAAAGTAGAACAACATGTAAGTGACTTACTTGACAAGCTGCCGCAGTTCACAGGAAAATGTAATCAGTTTGTGAAAGATGCACAAGAAATTAATTCAAGGTGAGTGGTGGCCTTTATATACCGTAGGTCTTATGTATGTATGCTGGACACTTTTGTGTGTTTAAAGATAATACAAGCAGTAGTTATCAAAGTCATAAACACTTGATGTAACATGTCCAAAATGTATGTATAACAATGGACATTGATAGTCCAGTGAGTGCCTGCATGTTTTACCTTTTGGGGTCATGCTTGAGGCATATTATTAACAGTTGCCATGGTAGCATTATTCATTTTTTAAGTATCTGCCACTAGGGGGCGCTATTACGCAGTGGTTTTTCCAGGACATTAAAAGCTATTGTGTGCACTGTAGATATGACTTTGTTTTACCTAAATCCTAAAAGACACTTTGTTCCATTTTCTATCTGGAATTATGAAAGGTCTTTACTGCAATGTGTATACCAGTATTGAACTTAAAAGCGGGGGAGTCGGCATCTGCGCATGCGCAGATGGCCATAGCATGTCATTGCTTTACTAATAAGTGTCTACCCATGAGCCTTTGCGTTTTTGCGTGTGTTGTTATCATCGCTTTAGACTTGATTCTTGCGCGTCCGCAGGTGACCCCCTCGCTTTAGGTAACATTAAGCTTCTGACATGTTACCATGTCAACAGGAAGACAAGAAACATGATTAAGATTTCTTTTTAATTGAAAGATAAACAAAAATTTTTTTTTGTCCATGAAAGTATTGTAACAGCTTACAGTCATTATGCTGTGGAAGTTTATAAATAAATAAATATTTAATACTCCTTTGAGAAACTTGACATATGATTTTCTCTGTTTTATGTACAGCCGTAAAATGAACACCTTAACACTGGCCAAGTATCCACAACTATTGGAAATCTTGGAGATTCCGCAACTGATGGACACCTGTGTGAGAAATGGCTATTATGAAGAAGCACTTGAATTGGCAGCTTATGTCAAACGCCTAGAGAAAAAACACTTCAATATTCCAGTAATTTTGGTAAATTAATAATGTTGTTATAATCACTAGTTCTTTGATGGGTTGTGATTTAATTACATCAATGAATCAAACAAATGTGAAATATTAGAAAACTTCAAACTTTTATATTTTACATGAGAGTAGTGCAGTTAATATTTTTCCTATGATTTCATATTTTTATTGGGTTTTATGATGCGGTTAATTGGTTGCTAATAGAAACAAAACAATTTACTAGTCAATACACCCAAATCTCAGATGAAAGGTGCCATTTTGAGATCTCCCAATTTGAAAATGTTTTCAATTGTAATACCATTCAGGAAGTGTACCATGTACCTGTTATTCCAAGTGATGACCTGTTATAACTTATTCAGCTTTGACATTAACACAAGCATCTTAAGACCATATTTGTTCTATCACAACACATGCTACACTTATTGTATACTGGATTATTAGAATTTGACTTGTTGCCATAAACATACCCTGTCGTTGGCTGGTAATATAGAAAATAAGGTATGCATGTCCATGGCTTTCTAGCATGTTCCATTACATTTTGGCCAGTGTTTCTAGCAATTCCCAGTCAAAGGTCAACTCCCTTTTTGTTCAACCCGAGGGGAGGGGGTATTTAAACTTATTAATCCTAGATTTGATCCCGGGTTAACAACCACTACGCTTTTGGTGAAATGGTTTCCTAATCTATTTTTCAGGGTATTGTAAACGAAGTAAGATCATCAACCCAATTGATGTTTAACCAGTTGATACAACAGCTGCATACCAATGTACAGTTGCCAGCTTGTCTACGAGTTATTGGATATTTACGTCGTATGGATATACTCTCAGAACCAGAACTACGTATCAAGTTCTTACAAGCAAGGAATGCTTGGTTACAAGGCATTATTAATGCCATACCACAGGATGATGGTAAGTATGTGCGTCAATGTTATTCTCTTTACGTTTTTTTACGAGTTACGTTTTTGAAATTCTCTGAAACATGATTCATTCTGTACACTAGATTTCCATTTGTAAACACCTTTGAGTTAATTTTACTCCACCCATATTTTTATTCATTTTTTGTAGCATATTTCCATATTACCAAGGTAATAGAAGCAAGCCGAGTGCATTTATTTGATATAATAACCCAGTATCGTGCAATATTTTCTGATGATGACCCTATAATGTCCTCAATGCAGGAACATGTAAACGAGAGTGCAATATTTTATGGATGGGTCATTCAGAAGGTGAGTTCTACAAATAGTTAAATATCTGTTCAGGAAATGCATTTTTGTCAGCATGAAAACTGTGGACAGTGATGTGGGTGTGTTCATCACCTTGCAGTGTTTATTTTACTCACCCTTAAGCTTAAAGTGCGATAGTCGTTGCGCAGCGCGTGTTCGAATTTCATGTAAATAAACAATGTATTTTACACGCGTTGTATACGTCGCTATGAGTCCCATATCAAACGCGTGCTGCCCTTTAACTAGAGACATTGCCATCATAATTATAGGAGGCCTACTATGTTTAGCTTGGTCATAGTTGTATAATAAGCTTCATGATATTAACGTACTACTTTCAGCAGTGATCTTCGGCCGTAGGTCCAACTACAGAACCAAAGAACTGAAATAGAACTGTATGCATACATGTGCAGTTCTGTCGCTTTTTTCTCATGTACTTCACTGGTATGGAATTTGTAAACTAACATGTCTATAGTACAGGTTTTGAAGATGAGAAACAAAACTGTTTATTTTTGTACCATTTTACATTGTACCATTTTACATTGTACCATTTTACATTGTACCATTGTACCATTTTACACCATTTTACATTGTACCATTTTACATCGTACCATTTTACATTGTACCATTTTACATTGTACCATTGTACATCGTACATTTTACATCGTACCATTTTACATTGTACCATTTTACATTGTACCATTTTACATTGCACCATTTTACATTGTACCATTGTAGCATTTTACATTGTACCATTTTACATCGTACCATTTTACATTGTACCATTTTACATTGTACCATTTTACATCGTACCATTTTACATTGTACCATTGTAGCATTTTACATTGTACCATTTTACATCGTTCCATTTTACATTGTACCATTTTACATTGTACCATTTTACATCGTACCATTTTACATTGTACCATTTTACATCGTACCATTTTACATTGTACCATTTTACATCGTTCCATTTTACATCGTTCCATTTTACATTGTACCATTTTACATTGTACCATTTTACATCGTACCATTTTACATTGTACTATTTTACATCGTACCATTTTACATTGTACCATTGTAGCATTTTACATTGTACCATTTTACATTGTACCATT